GAATTTCAACACATTGTTTCAAAGAACTCTAGGCTTGTTCTCCATAATTTTAGAGGGAAATTTCAGCAATATTGCATTTATGCCATTGTATAGCAATTCCGAAACATAACCTTCTCATAAGCAACAATAATGTAAAAAAAATCAAAGGATGTCATGGCTTAAACAATCACCTTTATAAAGTAAACTTTATTTCAAACAAACTCCCACATGCATATTAACATAACAATCCCAAAAGCACTCGTTGATGAAACTCTACATGATCATCAAATACTATTCATGTAAAAATTTGGAATTAAGGCTCAATGTAATGCTCTATATGTTTATACATATGCAAGATCATGAATCATGATTAGCAGGCTTACAAATTCATATCCAAGTTTTGTTTTAACATAAAGTGAACCAATGCTTCCCCCAACATTCATGTATTTCTCTAAATAACTTATAAAACCTTCAACATAAAACCCACAATTTTGCATTCGGACCATATATTTCTCCAAATCGAAATATGAAGCATACTAGATATCTTCGATGATATTCGTAAATTCAACCTTTAATCATCAAATGTAAAACTATTACTTGCCAAGGATTCGAACTCAACATCAGAATATTGGAAAGAAGAAAACAATCATACTCCACTTAGCAAATCAAAACTTAAATCATATATCCTTCTTCTACCAAACATAGCTCAAGAGATTAAAAAAAAAAATCATGATATTCACATTTCAAATAGTAAGATACTCACCAAAGGAAATGAGTTATTCCAAATATCCTCCACCTCGTTATCTTTTGTAACACAATGCACAAAGACATCTAATGCAACATGAATTTAAGAAGAAAGTCCCCCATCATTTTTACTTCTTTTCTTTTAGAGAAAAAAAACGAGATCCATCTACAATCATTGAATAAAAGAAACAAATTCATGAAGGAATGACCTTCAATTCCACACATATTCCATCAAGTAACTAAATTCATAACTATGCTCATCCACATACTTAATTAATCACGAATGGTGTAATCTCTTCCCATTTCACTCGAAACTTTAGCATGAAAGAGATCGTGATTGAGCCACACCCTTCTAAATATATTTACTAAAACACAATCATTGCATTTTGAATCAAGTAGCTCAATGCAATCCATGTCTAACAATCATAGAAGCATAGCAACTCTTTTTTTTAACCAACAATAATAGGAAAGCTCATAAAACACCATAATTTAAGCAATAAAACCACAACCCAAACAAATCCACAAACCCTTGATATCGAATGTGAATGCAGTATCCCAGCATAAGCATATACATGATCTCCCAATATAACCAGAACTCTTTTCATTGAATCATCACAATTGCTATAATCATTGAATCCAATCGGTCAGCAAACAAATGTTTAAGGTTTGAAAGATTTCTTTTAAACATAGAATGAATTAATTTCTCCAATGACTGTCGTTTTTTTTTTTTTTTATCAAATGCCAAATCCATCAGATTACCTCTCCACTGCTTCAAAAAGAAATGGCTAAGGTAAAATATCATTCTCTGTTTTAGGAGTGAGGGTGGCCAATACCAATATTCCACTTGATGTTATCTTATCAAAATAAGTACTAACTCATCCAATATAGCTCATCGTATAAAAGAACTGAATTTAATTATTTATAAGGAACACAACTTGCATGTAAGATTCACATCGTCATCAAAAATCAAGAAACTTGCTCTTATAACATGATACTCAAAATCCAAAGCATTTGTATGGTGGTATTCAACTCAATATCATAAAATTTTCTCAGATTTTCTTAGGGAATATAGAACCTGTTTCATTGCTTATACCCAAAAATGAGTGTAAATGACATTAAGGAGAAGGTAGAAGGAAAAGGGGAAGAAGGAGGAAGAGAAGGGAATATACTCATCTTGCAGTTTGGGTCGGTCCAGCCGTCGGGTTCGGTCCTGGGGGTCGGACGGGAGCAAGGAATCGGTTCCGTCTAGGGCTTCGGGTGCGAGAAGGAAAGGTGGACGTCCGGCCTGGTCTTCCCGCAAGAGAGCCGAGGGAAGAGGCTTGACTAGGGCAGAACGTCGGGCAAGACTAGGGAGAGGCAACTTCAGCCCGCACTTGCAATCACGAACCAGGAGGTGTGAGGAATGCTTTGGTCGCTCCTATGGTTCGCAAACCAGTGACTAGGGAGAAGGGAGCTCGGCCTGACTTCGTGCGAACCGAGAAGAGGCGGAAAGAGGGGGCTTTGGCGTTGGGTATCTCACGAACCAGAAGAGAGTCGGGAGCAAGGGAGCTCCGTCCCCTTTGTATCCAAAACCGAGAATCGGGAAGAGGGAGAGCGGCGTGGGGGCTTCGGCCTCTTCTCTGATTCACGAACGGGAGGGGACTGGGAGCGAGATGGAGGCTTTTGGCCTCAATTAGGGCATCAAGGGAGAATTCGGGTGTGAGAGAGAGAGCCGTCCGATCAAATTCTTGATCCAACGGTGGGACTCCAATTGGCTCAAAAAAAAAAAACAATCAAGCTTTGATTAGGGCTTAGCTAAACCCATGGGGCCGAAATCAAGTTCAAAATCGATTAAGGTTTGGTTCGATCCGGGTCAACTCGAACTCGCCTCGACTCGACCAAAATTAATTCAATAAAATAGGATAAAATAAATCGAACTCAAATTAAGTCGGTTCGAATCGGATCGGGCTCGATGAGGCTCGATCAACACAATAAAACACAGTCGATGACGAATCAGGACAAAAACGAGGTCAACATGAAGGGGTAAACCTTTTAAATACTAAGGCATTATCACTTCATGGAAAAGCATAATGTGGATGTATTGATTCCAAAATAAATTAAGCTGTTCAACTTCTGGTGGATGAAGAAGACTGCTGTCAGGAGCTTTCATAGGCATAACTTAATGTAATAGGAGCATGTAATTCATTCTTTTTCACATCAATTGCGTTACACATTAATCTAGTTTGATCTTTATGAAACCTGCAAAGAAGATTTCCTGCTGGAGGAGGTTTGCTAGTTCTCTGCTTCCAAATTTCGAGTCATGCATTGAGGTTTACCATTGCAAATCCATATTTATTCCTTTATATTCTTAACTTTCCATTTTTCTGAGTTGAACATAATTGTTTCCTTTTAATTTGGAGTGTTTATTTGTAATGAATCAAGATTCCCATGCAAAAAAATAAATAAAAATTAAAGAAAAGAAGAAGAGATGAATTTGGAGAAAATTTGATACAATTTGCCCTGTAAGTGCACATCTTGTTAGTTTTATGTGGAATATGATTGTGTTGATCAATTGGATTGTACTGTTGCTTTGGACCTCAGTTCAATTTGTTATGCTCGTTGGGGAGTGCGGGGGGTCCTCCCCCTGCTTGGGTTCGAGTGCTTTGTACCCGAAATATTTTATGTACAATACTTCGACGTTGTGTACCTGAGCGCCCCGACGCTGTGTTCTCGAGTGCTCTGACATTTTAGAGTTTGCCGGGAGAAACGACAAAGGGCAAAACACCGCAGTGCTCTAGACTTGGTGCCGCAACACTATGTAGTGCCGCAGAGCTGCGGGTTTGAGTGCTACAACATCATGGGGATAGAGGCTTGAGTGCCGCAGCACTGCGAGGCGGATCAGATAGTTTTCTTTCTTGTTTTTCTGAAGGGTGGTGTCCATTTGTGTTATTAACTTGATTTTTTCTTGTGTTTTGAGTGTTAGAATGGTCCTTGTGAGAAGAGCAGCCAGAAGAGAGTGAGAGAGAAGAGAGATCTGTATTTATTTCTCCTAATTTTTATAGTGAAAAATGATAAAGAAAATTGCTCAGCCCGCCTAGCAGTGCCACAACACTCCAATCTCTATCTCCAGTTTGTCTAATAGCGCTGTAGCGTCGGGGTCTTGAGCGCCGCAATAATGGGGTTTGGAGCACCGTAACACTTCACTTTCTATCCCCTGCCCGAGTCGTTGCGCCCTGTGCTATGCTCTTTGTTTGCCTCCAATTAAACAAAACAACACCACAGTGGTCGGGTGCACAGCGTCGTAGCGTTGTACTGTTGTATGTTAACCAATTCTTATCATTGGGATCGGCTTTATTCATATGTTGAATGTTACATGTAATGGTATTTTTGACCTACTCAAGTGTTTTTGGATAAGGAAAATGTAGGAAACAACAGTTGTAGGTTCTATTTAACAATTTCTTATGTGAAATGATGATGTATACTCCAAGTGAAGCCAATGTTGCAAGTGAGGCCAATGTAAGTTAATTTTAGAACTGCTTGTCATGTCTTTTAAATACAACTTCAGCTTGTCAAATACACCATTCCATTCCTTCACAAAATCATCTATGGCATTGCGCTATCATTAGTCATCTCCAGGTTTAGGCATTGCTTTTGTAAATCTCTATTAACTTTCTAAATTATGCCTCGATAATACAAAACTAGTTTTTTTTCTAATTATGGTTTTGAAAGTTTTTATTAACCATATGTGATATTTAACACATGGCACGTTCCATTTTTAACAACGTTGTCTTTCATGAAATGATTTATTCTGTGTTTCAAGGACTGGTTCATGAATTATGATAATTAATATATACATTTGTTTGATGACAGTCCGATATGTCTCTCCTCAGCAGCTCTGTTGGCTGCTATTTCATCCATACACTATCTTTATCATTTGAATTTTTAGTTTTTGGTATGAAAGCTAATATAAGATATGCAAAATGATGATTTTCATAGCAGTCATTCCATGAAATTGGTTTCAATTGTTACGATGCCAGTTGTGCTCTATTATTTATCTTTTGGCAATCTACTTTATATGATTAGATCTTAGTCTGTGCCTACCATGATATTATAGTATTGCATACTTAAGGGCTATTCTCAAAATCAGTTCCTCCAATACTGACATTGTACCCAAACTTTTCTCATCTTTGTTATTGTATGTAATTTCACTCTTCAATTGAAAGAAGAGTCTCTTAACTTTCATCTGATGTGCAGTAATTGGTGTCCTGTAACAACGAATAACTTGTATTTTGTTGCAGGATTTTATACATTTTACACTTTTAAGTGATGGCTGAAAGCTGGGATGGAAGCTACGATTCCAATATACGAAGTTATGAAGCTAGCAGACACTCTGACGAGAGCTATCATGAAAAACTGCACATTGAGCCTATCTATGAGTCATTTGTCTGCCCGTTGACGAAACAAGTCATGCAAGATCCTGTTACCATAGAAAGTGGGCAGACTTTTGAGAAAGAGGCAATTGAAAGGTGGTTCAAAGAGTGCAAGGACAATGGGCGGAGGGCTGTTTGCCCATTGACACTGAAAGAGCTGAGCAACACTGATCTCAATCCCAGCATTGCTCTGAGGCATACCATTGAGGAATGGACACAAAGAAATGAAGCTGCTCAGCTTGACAATGCCTGTAGATCCCTAGGTCCTGGGGCCTCAGAAGGTGATATTTTACAAGCATTAGATTATGTTGTGAATATTTGCAAGAAAAGTAGGTCAAACAAGCATGTGGTCCGAAATGCTGAGTTAATACCAATGATTGCTGATATGTTAAAGAGTAGCAGCAGAAAAGTGCGATGCAAAGCTTTGCAAACTCTCTGTGTAGTTGTTGAAGATAATGATGACAATAAGGTTGTCTAAAGGTTTGCTAGTAATTTTTGTGGACGTTTGCATGATCTTACTCTGTTATTTTAACTAATTCTTCATTAAACAGCAGGAAGTTATGGCTTCTGGGGATACTGTTCGAACAATTGTGAAGTTTCTATCACGTGATCACTTCCAGGAGAGAGAAGAAGCAGTGTCTCTGTTGCACGAACTTTCAAAATCCGAATCTCTTTGTGAAAAGATTGGTGGAGTCAATGGCGCTATACTTATATTGGTTGGTTTATCAAGTAGTAAATCAGAAAATGTCTTGACTGTTGAAAAAGCTGAAAAGACGCTGGAAAATCTAGAGAAATATGAGAAGAATGTTAGGCAAATGGCTGAAAGTGGAAGACTAAAACCTCTTCTTACACTTTTACTTGAAGGTGATTTCATCTGTATAATGCTTGTTTTTATGTTAGTCTGCAAAGGTTTCTGATTTCTGCTACTGGATAACGGCTTTCCATGAAACATTGACTTATGGACATTATTTTCCTAGGAGACATTTCCCCTCATATCCATATGCTATGTCACAACTTCTCTCTTTTACAATTTATGTTTTTGATATTTGTAAGCGCTCGTCAAGCATAATTTGAGTAATTCATTGTAATTATTTATGTCAGGTAGTTGCTCTGTTTGGGCATATTTTTGTATTGTTTATAAAACTGTAGAATTAAATAGGAATTTTTCCCAACTCTCAGCTACCTCATGAAGAATTATTCGTTGCGCTGGTTGACCTTAGTGCTGGTCAATATGACGATCAAAGTCAGCAAATTTTTCGTTTCTTATTTTTTTCCGATACTTTCAATTTTGTTAAATTATTTAAATTTCTTGAAGTTTGTCAAAGGCATCAAAGGTGTTAACATTCAGTTTTTTTGAAAGAAATTTGTTTTGGGCTGTAGGTTCACCTGAGACGCAGCTATCCATGGCAGAATGCTTGGGGGATCTTGTTTTAAGCAATGATGTCAAGATCTTTGTAGCCCAAACTGCTGGTTCTGCTCTTGTTGATGTCATGAAGTGTGGGAGTAAGCAGGCTAGAGAGGCTGCACTTAAGGCACTAAATCAGATCTCATCACATGAGGCAAGTGCTAAGATACTTATCCAAGCCGGTATCCTACCTCCTCTTCTCAAGGACCTCTTCACTGTTGGAGTTAACCAACTTCCAATGAGGCTGAAAGAGGTATCTGCTACTGTACTTGCAAACATTGTTGCATCAGGTGCATGCTTTGAATCCACTCTACTTGATCAAGGTCAACAAACTCTAGTCTCTGAGGATATTGTCCACAATCTTCTTCATCTTATTAGCAACACTGGTCCTGCAATTGAATGCCAGCTCTTACAGGTACTTGTGGGGCTCACAAGCTCTTCCACAACTGTCCTAAAAATTGTTTCGGCCATCAAGAGCTCTGGTGCTACCATCAGTCTCATACAGTTTATTGAAACTCCTCATAGAGATATCCGCATGGCTTCAATAAAGTTGCTGCATAATATCTCTCCTTTCATGGGTCAGGAACTTTCAGATGCCCTGCAGGGCACTGCCGGCCAGCTTGGTTGTTTGATTAGAGTTTTCTCAGAAGACAATGGGATTACAGAGGAACAAGCAGCTGCGATTGGATTCTTAGCTGAACTTCCAGAGGGAGATTCAGGTCTGACAAGGCGACTTCTTGCTGAAGAAGCCTTTTCGATTATCATTTCCAAAGTTATGAAGATCCGACATGGTTGCATTCGGGGAGGCCGGTTTGTCACCCCTTATCTTGAAGGGCTAGTTAGGGTCCTCTCTAGGTTTACATTTCTATTGGAGAATGAAACTGAACTTATAGCCCTTGCCCAGGAACAAAACCTTGCAGCACTCTTCGTAGATCTCCTTCAAACTAATGGTATAGATAAAGTGCAGATGGTTTCTGCTTTGGCATTGAAGAATCTTTCAAAGCAGTCGAAACATTTGACAAAAGTACCAGAGCCTCCGGAACCAGGGTTCTGTGCTTCAGTATTTCCTTGTTTCAGTAAACAGCAAGTTGTGACTGGGCTATGCCAGGTCCACCGTGGGCGCTGCTCTATAAAGGAGAGCTTCTGTTTACTGGAGGGGAAGGCGGTCGAGAAATTGGTGGCTTGTCTTGACCACAACAATGAGAAGGTGGTGGAGGCCGCATTAGCTGCACTATGTACTCTGTTGGATGATGGGGTGGATATTGAGCAAGGAGTACTTGTTCTTTGTGAAGCCGAAGGGATTAAACCAATACTTGAGGTCCTACTGGAAAATCGAACTGACGTACTAAGGCAGCGGGCTGTGTGGGCAGTGGAGAGGATTCTGAGGACGGAGGATATTGCTTATGAGATCTCAGGAGATCAGAATGTGGGTACAGCTCTGGTTGAAGCTTTCCGCCACGGTGACTATCGAACCAGGCAAATTGCAGAACGGGCATTAAAGCATGTTGACAAGTTGCCTAATTTCTCTGCAATATTTCCCAAGGTTGGAATTTGATTAGTAGGGGTGGGCAGAAGCTTGGTTTTTGTGGTATGTATTTATGATTTTTTTATATATCTTTTTGTTTTGGGTCTAGGTTACTTTGATTCTGGTTTTGTTTTAAATATTGAGAACGGATTCCTTCGTTGTTCATAATGCTCATGATTTGTTCAAGATTTTTTTTTTTCACGTGAGCATTGAGGTGATTGTTTATGTTAGTCAATAAAATTTACTGGATTAGATTTATGATCTGGGTAGGGAAAGAAATATATTTCTAAACTTCTATTTGTTTAGATTGTCACCTTTTTATTTAATTATGACCCTACTACTATTCACCTTGGGATTTTGTAGAGACACTATGGAAAATTTAGCCATTTGTTGGATAGATCCATATCACTTGTGTTTAATTTCATTCAGAAATGCTTGTTATTCTAGTTTTGTGGCAAATGATCGGATTATAATCTACTTGCTTTCATTTCTCTAATAATTTTATGTCTTTTCTTTTGAGCTTTTCTGGAGGACCTGTTGAAGCCAACAAGAGATGGGATTATGATTGTAAGATGCTTAGAATATTATAGTTCCTATTAATAATGTTGTTTTTTGCGTGAGTTAAGAAGCCATTTTAATTAATTCAGTATGTCCAGGCATGCCTTCTTTTATTTCTCAGATGTTTTGAGGCTGCTTAAAGCGGTTGTAATGTACCGTCTACATCAAAGTTGTACCGAGAACTCACTGTATGCTTGATTTGTTGTATGTTTTATATGCTCTGACATTGCACAAATTTTTGGATTATTTGTATATTGTCTAGAATTGTTATATTTAACAAATACAAAGAAATTCTGGAATAGGTCAAGAATTCAACCAATATTAAACCATTCGACGGACATGAACGTGGTAAATAGACTAAGGCTTCGTTTGGGACGGCTTTCTTGCTGCTTCTTAAAGCAGTTTTTTAGTACAAAATTAAAATTTTTATGCTAAAAAACTGTTTTGAGAAGTAATAAAAAAGCAGTCTCAAACGAAGCCTAAGTATGTCATCTCCCTCGTGTATCTTTCTGAATTCATGAACGCTCGGTACATGTGGCAGCATGCATACTTTTCAAATCACTTTTAGGTAGATGTAAGGTGACCAGTCTTGAAGAGCATGTATTCAGATTAAGAAAAAAAGCTTTCAAGTGTTTGTTTAGTCCTGAGCTTGTAGTTTTGGACAAGTAAATCTTTTTATTACTTAAAATTTTGCTGATTTATTTTTCCAATGTGAATTCTACAATTCACAGTGATAGTTTTTGGATTTAAACTATGATTTTCAGGTAGGAGTCATATTAGAAATGATGTAGGTGTGATTATAGATAAGAGTTTGAAGGATAATGTTGTAGAAATTAATAGAATTTGTGATAGAATTATAATTTTAAAGATTATTATTGATATTAAGATTATTAATATTATAAGTGCTTATGCTCCTTAAGTAGGTTTGAATATGTGTTCAAATTTAAAAATTTGAAATAATTAGAAGAACTAATACAAAATATATCTCTTAAAAAAAGAGATTTTTTGAAGAAAATTTAAATGAACATATTGGTAGAGAGGTAGAAGATTTTAAAAGCTTTCATGGTGGTTATGCATTTGGAGCAACTAATGAAGGTGGTAGGACCATATTAGATTTTTTTCTAGCTTATAATTTTATAATTTCTAACATGTTATTTAAAAAAAGAGTGGAGCATCTCATCACTTTAAGAATGGATATAGTAAAACTCAAATTGAATATTTTCTTATAAGAAAAATACATTGTTTAGATTGCAAAGATTTTAAAGTTATTCCGAGTAAAAGTTTATGTACACATCATCGCTTATTAGTTTTGAACTTCAAGTTGAAGTGTTAGAATGTGAAAAATAAAATAAAATGTTATCCTGGGATTAGATGGGGGCATTTGAAAAATACTAACAAAAATATTTTTGAGATTAAAATTCAAAATGTTAAGATTCTGACTGTACATAAAGAAGTTAATGTTATGTGGAAAAAAATATCTTATACTATTAAGAATTTTGCAAAGGATGTGCTTGAAGTATTCAAAAGAAAAGCTCATAATAATAAAAATAGTTGGTGGTGTTACAATGTACAAGAAAAGATAAAAAATAAGAAGCTTTGTTTTAGAAATAAAAATTCAAAAAATTGGGAAAGATATAAAGAGATTCGTAAGGAGTACAAAAAAAAATTATGTGATTTATATAATATATTAGATTTTAAGGAGCGAAAGATATATGTATAAATTAACCAAATAAAGAGATATGAGAAATGAAGATTTAGTTCAAGTGAAGTTCATTAAGGATGAACATAAAGAAATATTTTTATTAGAAAAAGATATTCAATAAATATGGATGAGATATTTTGATAAGATTTTCAATAAAAATTATGAAAATACGATTGAATTTAGTGACCTTAGCGCCCTAAATGAAAATAGATAATTTTGTTTTTGTCGTCGTATTATTAAAACCGAAGTTAGACTTTAAAAAAATGAAATGTGAAAAAGCTATTGGAATCAATGATATTCCAATAAAGGTGTGAAAATGCTTTAGAAATAAAGGAATTTTTTGGCTTACAAAAATTTTAATATTATTTTGAAGACAAAATATGCCAAATCAGTGAAGGAGTTTGTTGATTTTTATTTTTAAGAATAACGGTAATGCATAAGAGTGTGCGAATTGTAGATGAATTAAGTTAATGTGTTATAATTATACTTTAAAACTATGGGAGAGAGTTATCGAGTTTAGGTTACGACATGATGCTAATGTTTCTCAAAATCAATTTGGATTTATGCCGAATAGGTCTACCATGGAAGGTATACATTTATTGAGAGGTTTGATGGAGAAGTATAGAGAGAATAAGGAGGATCTACATATGATATTTATTGATTTAGATAAAACTTATGATAAATTTTCAAGAGAAGTGTTATGTAAAGTTTTATAAAATGGTTAATAATGCTTATACTAAGTCATTAAGAATATGTATGCAGGAGATGTTACTTGTGTTTAAACACAAGGATGTTTGACCAAGTATTTTCTTATTTAAGTTGGTTTACATCAAGGATCAGTTTTAAGCCCATATCTTTTTTGCTTTAGTCATAATATTCTTACTAAATATTTGCAAGAGAATGTACCATGGTGCATGCTTTTTGTTGATGATATTCTTCTTATTGATAATTTTAGAGAGGGAGTTGAAGGTAAACTTGAATTATGGAGGTCAACTTTAAATTATAAAGGTTATTATTTAAGTAGATCTGAAACTGAATACATTGAGTGTAATTTTAGTAATAATAAATCTAGTGGGGGTTGTGATTTTGAACAATTAAGTCATTGATAAGAGTACGCGTTTTAGATATCCCATGTCTGTTGTCTAGAGTGATGGTGAAATAAATGGGGATATTGTTAGTAGAATTCAAGTTCGACGTTTAAAGTGGAGAAATGCATCTGACCTATTGTTTGATAGAAATGCACCCCTCAAATTGAGACCTGCAATGCTTTATAGTGCAAAATGTTGGTCATTAAAAGAGAATTTTAAAATTAAATTAAGTGTTGCAGAGATAAGGATGCTCAGGTGGATGAGTGGCTTTACTCTTAGAGATAGAATACACAATGAGCATATACGTGAAGGTTGGAGTAGCTCCAGTGGTAGATAAGAATAAAGAGTCGCCTTAGATGGTTTGGTCATATAAATTGTCGACCTTCTGATGACCTAGTAGTTAGGAGACTAGATGTATTAGATTTGACCTATGTTAGAGAGGTTGATGTAGATCTAAAAAGACTTGGTAAGAAAATATTAGAAATAACCTTTTTTATTAGATTTAAGTGAACACTTGACTCTTAACATGACACAATGAAGAAAAAGAATTCATATAGCAGACCCCACATAGTGGAATAAAAAATTGATGTTGTTATTGTTGAATTCTACAATTCAAGACTCTAGAGGATTCTTATACTTCCACATCTTGACACTCTTGCATGTAGTGATACCCACATTGTTATTTAATGAATATTGTACTTTTTTCCATTGATTGGTGTAGGCTGGTGGTTGGCATGTTAATTGGGGATTGTATGTTTTAAAAATGATATTTTGAAAGTGTTGTTGTGAAGATAATGTTTTTGATATTAATATTTTTTATTTGTACTTTTAGTTTATTGTCTTATTGAGTTAAGTTCAAGTTGCATCCTTATATATTTGTAAAAATCTCTAGGAGTCTCGTTCCTATTCTTGTACATTTTATTTTCATTTTCATTGAGGGGTTGTTTGGTTGGTTAAAAAGGAATGTTGTGTGAAAGAAATGTAGTGTAAAAGAAATACTTTGAGTTGTTTAGATGAATGTAAGGTAAATGCAAATGAATGAGTTTTTTTTTTTTTTTGGGTTTGAAATAGTTGCGCCCGTAGTAAACCGATCCCCACAATCAAATAAACCTCATTCGAGCTGATGTATCGAATGGGGGAAATCTCGTGAACTTTTGGGTTATGTATATTATTATCCATGAGGTGCGTAGGTGAAAACCCGCTATCCTCCATGGCTAATCGTATCTATAACTCCATCTGTTCTTCCATCGGTCTGCTTGTGTCGATTGTAAAGGCTTACGACCATTTTGTCCTACGGGATAGTGTGATCGTACCCTTTGCATTCGAACCACACGAGCGGAACCCTTTCGGAGACCCACAGTGGCGGCCAGGGGGGCGCAGTGGTGGTGGCCGGAGGAGGGTGGAGGCGGGTAGCGGTGGTGGCAGGAGGCGTTTGGAGGCGATCAAGCAAGCTTTCTTGCGGTGTAAACTGTTCTAACCCAAAATTGGCCGAATTTGATTTTCCTAAAAAATAAACTAGAAAGGTTTACATTATATTTATTTTATTTTGGATTTCTTTTTCATCCAACCAAATACCAAATTGTCAATCAAATTGCCCTGAATGTAACATTACTTGCTCCTGGTGAATTTCTGATAATTCCAATTTTTTATTTAAATTCATTTGAGTTATATCCAATAAATGTATACCTGATAAATATTGGATCAAGCTTACTTCTAGATCATTCATCAATATGAATATAGGATGACCAACAAAAAATTTTAAGGTGAGATAAACTTATCTCTTTGACACTCCATACTTGCTCAGGTAATCCCTCATTCAGAAGAATTGACGGTCCACGATTGTTCAAATAAATGACAGTATTCACTGGGTTTGCTCAGAACTGCTTGGGTAGACTAATATGTTGTCTCATGCTTTTGGCATGCTCAGTGATAGTTTTATTCATGCAGTTTGTAATACTATTATGCTATGATGTTCTTGGAACCGTGAACTTATGCCTGGTCTAATTCAAAGCATATACTTCTTGCAGTTCTTATCATGATACTCGCACCATTTTCTAATCAGAGACACTTCAGTTTTAAACTTGTCTCATTCTCAATCATATGCTTTCACTTCTTGAAAACATCAAACACATTTAACTTATGTTTTAAGAAGTACACCTATACCTTTCTGTCATGATCATCATTAAAAATGACAAAATATAAATATCCTCTTATAGAAGAAATTGGGGAAGGATCTCATACTTTAGTATACACTAACTCTAACTTCTTTAACTTCACCTTTGAACTTGTCTTTGAAAAATTCACTCTATGTTGCTTGCCGTATACATAAATTTCTTAAAAATATAAATACTAAGCCAAGATGCTTTCCTCTAGTAAGAAGTGAATGCATGCTTTTTTTACTCATATGACCAAACTATGGTGCCAGA